AAGAAAGAAAGAAAGAAAGAAAGAAAGAAAGAAAGAAAGAAAGAAAGTCAAAACTAAGAGCATCTGTACAGAATTCTAGAAGGTGGAGTGCAAAGGAGTGCAGCCAGCCCTGGGACGTTTGGGGGAGGAAAGTGTACGTGTTAAGAGGCAGCAGTCAGAGTCTGACCAGGAGGGTAAGTTCAGGGCGTCTATCAGAAATGACATCCCATTGCTTTTGCTGTATTCTGTTTGTTAGAAGTCACTGGGTCCAGCCCACGCACAGGGAGAGGGGCTTACACAAAGGTGTAAATACCAGGTGGCAAGGATCGTCTGGAGCCATCTCACCAGCTGCCCACCATACTCCCATTTTGGAAATCAAGAAACTGAAGCTCAGAGAGATTTAGTAACTTCCTTAAGGGTCACCTAGTAATTTGTCGGTGCAGGGTTCCAACTGAGAGCAGCTTTTAATCACTGAGCACATGAACAAAGTCACCTTAAATAATATATTGAGTAGTAAGCACTCTGTGACACGTCCAAGCTCTTTCAGGCTTCACCCTCACCCTGCAAAGTTGGTTAATGTCACCCCCCATCAGCAACACTAGAGCACTTGAGTGAATGGGAGGGATGTAACCATTTGCCCAAGGCCATGGAGTGGCTGAGCTATCCATTCCTAAAGAAAGAGTGGAGAATAGTGGAGAAGGGTTTGGCCTGGCGTGGGGAGGGTGGGTGCTGTAGGTGACTCACCTCTGCTTTGTTGCAAGATCAGGTTCATCAGGCCTCTTCTTGGCCTGTGTAAAAAAAAGACCCCTCACCACCATTGGCCCCTTTCAACACTGCTCCCAGGCTCCCAGGCCCACCACTGGTGACTTCATTTCACTTGCCCTGAATGGAAACCCGCAGGTGTCAGGCATTAGACAGGAGTCACGCTCTTGCCCTGTGGTCCAGCCGCACCGGCTCTTGTCTCAGAGCTTTGACCTGGGCTCTTTTCTCTGCCTAGAATGTGTCCCATCTCTTGTCCCTCTTCCCCTGTAAACACCTACCCCTGCTTCGGCTCCCACCTCAAATCTTACTTCCTGTGGAGGCTACGCCTGCTGGAAGACTAGATCAAGCCCAAGTCACATGCTTTCCCAAGTGCCCGGCGATTTCCTTTGTTTCATGTATCGCAGTCATTAACTGTGAACCGTGGCGTGGTGGAGGGTAGGCTCTGGGAAGGGACACCATTTTGCTCACCATTACATCTCCAGTGTGCCTGGCACAGTACCTGGCAAAGGGTAGGCAGTTAATGAGTGCTGCTATTATTTATTGAATGAATATTGAATAATGCCCCCTGTTTTCCCCAGGATACCTCTGTCCTGCAGTTAACTGAACCTGGTGCCTCTTCAAATCCCTACATGAAAATGCTAACTGGGGCGAGAACTAAACGGGCTCCGTCTCCCTGACTGCCCGCATAAATACTTAAAAGGGACTTCTGGAGACCTGTAGTTCTGAGTGTTCCCACCCTAGGTAATGACCTTAGTGGCGGGACTTTCAGGCTCTAAAGGACGGACAGAACAATAGCAGGAGGAGGTAGGAGATGTATTTTAGGGTAGGAGAGGCCTTGTTTCGGAACCTTTTAAATTACAGGGCCTACTCTGGAAGTGTAGGAAAGGGTTTTAATAAGAGAGGAGCATTCGTTTCATTATTTTAAAATAATGTTTACAAAGAGTTTGTAAGACCATGTATTAACACTCATTTATTTTTGAGACAGACAGAGCACAAGTGTGGGAGGGGCAGAGAGTGAGGGAGACACAGAATCCGAAGCAGGCTCCAGGCCCCGAGCTGTCAGCACAGAGCCCGATGCGGGGCTCAAACTCACGAACTGTGAGATCATGAGCTGAGCCAAAGTTGAACCCTTAACTAAGCCACCCACGTGCCCTACAATAGCTTACCTTTATTGAGTTACTTACTACCTGTCACAACAAGCCTATAAAGTAGATACTTTTATCTCCATTTTGCAGGTGAGGAAGCTGGCACATCCGGGGCGGGGGGGGTAGGTAATTTTCTGAAGGTAACAGCCAGTAAAGGACAGAGCTCAGATTCGAACCTCATCATTTAGGCTTTAGAGCCCATACTCTTAACCACTTAACCACTATATTAGGCAGAGAGAAACCCATCAACTTGTTCATGGTCTTTGGATGGTAGTTTATTTTCTCTTCTATTCTCCAGGTTTTTCTATACGGATTTACTACAGGAGTTGAATGATAACTTCTTTATTAGGGAAGAGGTGGGGTGGTAAAATTTGAAGGACGGATGTATGTTTTAGGACAGAAGAATTCACCCCATTTCCCTTTTCACTTTTCTAAATTTTCCAGAAGAGCCGATGACCACCCCAATCCTGCAGGCCACTGAAGCCCTGTCCCCCAAAGCCGAGGCCAGCACAGCACTCATAGCAGGTAACAAACGCCCTGAGCCAAATCCGAGAGACCTCTTGAATTCCACGGCTATCTCACTCCACAGATGGGGAACCCAGTGGCTGAACTAGGATTTTCCCTATGCAGGAAAGCACCACAGATTGGAGACCAAATCCAGTAATGGGCTCGTTTGGGCACATAGGTTATCTTACACACGCACACACGCAAGGCTGTAAAAGACTCTTAGAGGCTCTGTGCCAGAGACACTGCCGGTAAATGTGGGAAGCGGCCACAAACAGATGTAAGCGCGTACGGGCGCTACACTCCACTATGCGGCGAGAGATGAGGATGTGTGTGGTTTGTCAAGTGGGTGAGGAAGAGGATGGGAGGGATCAGAGAAATCCCTGCAGGAGGCTGTGGGTTTTAAAATGCCTTCCTCTTGGGATAAGGTATTTCCTGTTTCCCTCCTTCCTGTTTCTATCCTAATCATCAGGAACCGGTTGAGAGGGAGTTGTTTTGTCAGAAATCAAAAGCCTTGTGTCCTTAGCTTAAGTACCAAGGTACTCCGGGGGTCATGCACCATGGAAGTTGGACTTGGGGAATATGGATTTGCAAGTGGCCACCGGTTAATTAGAACCCTGGTTCTTAGAAATAGTGAGGGTGCTTATAAATAGTGAGGGAATCGCCGAATTCAGGGGGCCCCATGAATTGCTGAGACATCCTCAGTCCTGAAACATGTCTGCATTTTCCCTCTCAAGTTGTTATCACCGTGGTCTTCCTCACCCTGCTCTCGGTCGTGATCTTGATCTTCTTTTACCTGTACAAGAACAAAGGCAGCTACGTCACCTACGAACCTGCAGAAGGCGAGCCCAGCGCCATCCTCCAAATGGAGAGTGACTCAGCCAAGGGCAGGGAGAAGGAGGAATATTTCATCTAATGACTCCCGGGCCCCAAGGAGCTTATCCAGGCTCCGGTGTTAACACACTATTTAATTTATTAGGCGCAAGTTTTATCTGAAACCAGTGAGAAGCACTGATCGATATAGGCAAACCTGAGCTCTTTCTAGGACACAGGCCCAAATGAATGCCAGCGTCACTGACACCAGGGACACAGAGGAAACTGCTCATGCTGTCGTTAGCCAGGCCTTTCTAATATGGCGGGTTTCTGTGGCTGCCCAAGAAGGTGGTGCTGTACCAGACAACATGAGTATGTGCCCAATCATCTTCAGTGTTTTCAAGGTTGAAGGGAAGGACAGTTATGAGTCGCTGGCTGCTCCCCTATCCCTTACCTGGTCAACTAGTTGACAGCCTGAGCAGAGATAGTGTCTAGTCATACTAGTTCTTGCCAGGTGCTGGATACCAGAGTAAAAGGCCAGACCAGGAGGGACAGACTATGGAGACCTCACCTCCTGATGAATGTGCTCCATCTCCTGAGCCTTCTTCCTTTCCATATTCCCCAACAACCTTACACTGATGCTGTTTTTTTCACAATTAAAAATGTTTATTGATAATAGAAATCCGATTCTCGTGTGCAAGAAATAACTACCTTTATATTTTGACTTATCCAGACTTAAATTTTTTTAATGTTTATTTATTTTTGAGAGAGAGAGAGAGAGAGAGAGAGAGAGTGGCGGCGGGCAGAGAGAAAGGGAGACGGGGGATCCGAAGATACAGGGCTTACTTAATTAAACCCATGAACTGCGAGATTATGACCTGAGCTGAAGTCTGACGCTTAACCCAGCCACCCAGGTACCCCAGGCTTTTTTTTTTTTTTTTTTTTTTTTTTTTTTTGCTTATTTAACTCTTTTGCATATGTTCTCTCCCAAGCAGTAAGAACCCCAGGGAAGTTTCAGAAGTTCCAGAACCATCTCACGAGATTGAAACAAAAATGGTGGTGGGAAGCTTGTCCCAGAGGCGTGTCATTAGAAACATCCCTGGGGTGATGAGTTGGTTTACCTTCCATCCTGGCAAGGGCCAGAATTTCTCAGACCCATTCTATGTATACAGAGAGGGCACCAGGAACTACCTCCCTACCACTTTACCCACCAATGTCCTTTGAATCAAGCCCAGAGAAGCTTCTTGGATCTTAGTCCCAAAAATTAGAGGTGTTTAAAAGATACAGTGTTTCAGTAGGAATCCTGGCTCCCCAGGTACTGTTTAGTTGGAATTAAGCTAAATCTCCTTTGAAGTCTATAAATTGTATTGCTTCCATCATCCAAACTCTGTTCCTCCCACGTTAAGACCCAGGAGTTGAGGAATCAGTCTTGATAATCTGTTTCAGTATTTCTCCACACAGAACTTTGGTGAAATTGAAAGGTCACCCCGAACTTAACAAAAACTGTTACACTAAAACATTTTTCTCAGGGGCGCCTGGGTGGCTCAGGCATTAAGCATCTGCCTTTGGCTCAGGTCATGATCTCATAGTTCATGAGTTCGAGTTCTACATCAGGTGAGCTCAAGCCCGTTTTGAAAGCGAGCAAGAAGGGGAGGAACAGAGAGAGAGGGAGTGAGGAGAGAGAATCCCAAGCGGGCTTCTCGCTGTCAGCGAGGCTCCTGACTTGGGGCTCAGTCTCCAAAACCATGAGATCATGACCTGAGCCAAAACCAAGAGTGGGATGCTTAACTGACTAAGCCACCCAGGCGCCCCCTTATGTTCTGAATACCTCTGGCATAACAGGCTTCTAAAAATCTGAAAGAGCTTAGGAAATAAAGAAAAGGAAAACATCTAGAACGGGACTCATGAAAATGGTCAAATCTTGGCCTTACACTCCTGCATTTATTTCAAAGGCTTCGTTAAAAAACAAAACAAAACCCAACAGAATGACAACAGTACCTATTTGAATTTTAGGTGGGATATAAGATATATAGAGAAGAAACCTAAAAACAAGCTGAGTAAAGAATCCTTGAAGTGAGGTGTAATGCAACTTCATCACTTTATTCAAATCTTCAAAATAGTCTTTATTCTACATTTTTAGTATAAAAAATCCACAAGTTAAGTGCACCACAGTGTAGAGAGAGACATACAACGCTGAACTTCCATAACAGTCAATGGTACAGTCAAACATCACATGTACAGAACACAAAATTTAGATGAACTGAAATTATAAGATAAAATAAAATCCAATTTCAGAAAACAAAAATCAAAATATTAAGGATCCCTGAAATATTCTTAACCCTAATGAGATTTCACTGGACTCAAGTCATTTTGTAGTGAGGGATTCCTAATATGACCCCATTAACCCAGCTTAGGAGTTCTAGGGAGCCGTGCGTGACTGCCTACATCAGATACTCTGACGATAAATGGTGACCAATTTTTGGATGGGAAATCGTCCCCTAATTTGGCTCTAACGTCATCAGGCTTTTGAAATGCATCCCCCTCCCTGCCCCAACATTTTAAACAAACTTGTTTACAGTACAGTTTGCATTGATACCCTTTGTTCAAATACAGCTCTCAGGTTTTCTGGCACCGAAGCAAATTTGGGTTTAGTTCACGGATGAAGAGACAGCCTATGAGGAAGGTCCGAGAGGCACCCTCCACTTTTGCCTGAGGAGACGCAAAAAACAGAAGTGATGGGGTCCGTGCTTGGGGCACAGAAGGGGTTTCAGAGGATCCTTGTGAAAGACTAGTTAAAAGATGGCAAGTGGGGAGAAGTGCAAGGAGAGAAGGAAGTTAGTCTGACTGGCTTTCTGTCCTGCACCATTGATTCAATGGAGATTGGCGGGAAGGAACTGGAAAACTAGGGTTGAGGGTGGGACGTGGGGCAAAGGATGGAAAGGGAAAGGCAGACAACTAATGCGTTTCATTTATAACAAGTAATAGAAATCAAAGACTTAAAGGAGATTAAAGACCAATCAGAATAATTTGGCAACTTTAATTCTTAGGAAGATCAAAGTTCCCTCCAAACCTAATTTGATGTTTTATTACTAAGAGCAAAGACCAGAATGGTACAGTATTACTCCAGAGGAATTCAAGGAAGATCCTTAGGGCTGCTTCACCCACATTCATTTTATGAATGGATGCCTCCCCTACCTCAAAATGCTTTAAGGAGGTACTGCTACCATTACATGGTTCCTTATTAAGTTTGAAAAGTGCCTGAAAGTTTGGGCACCAGAAAGACACCCCAACAACATGTGTCTAAACTGCAACTTCAGGTTAATATGACTAAAGCAGTTACATTGTGAGAAGTGCTGAAGGTATGTGATGTCTTTCTCGGCACAGAGGTGGCCTTGGTTCTTCACCAGATGGTGTAGCCACCATCTGAGCCACCCATGAAGAAGTTTCCCTTCCGCTGAGTTACGAGGACATTGGCTCCCTGCATGACTGCAAGCTGAGCAGCATTGGGAGGGCATCCAGGGGGTGGAGGCTGAAAGGAAAACACAAAGGTTGACTGGGCATAGGGCAGCTGAGACGAGGGAAGTGGGCACAGGTGAAAACGGGATCCGTTAAGACGACGGCAGTATGCTGACCAATCACATCTTAGAGCTAGTTCTGCCACCAATTTGGACTGTAAAGCAGGTCTGGATTTTCTGTGAACCCAAAGATGCAAACAGGAAAGAGCCTACCACTCATCCAAAGGCATTCCCACTTCATTTCTAGTATATGGTTTTGAGTGGCTGGCCCTAGCAAGAGCCATTTGGGCTCTAATTCTTATGCAAGGGGGAGAGAAGCAGGAAACATAACTAAAATCTCTAGTATCTTTCCAAATGCTACTTAATAGGGATTATGGCAAATTCGAAGTAAATGCTTATGGAATGAATAAGGAGTATTCCTAGCCCGGTACCAGAACGGAGCAGAAAGAGCAGCAGACAGCACTCCTAAGACAGGAAAACAAAGGAATCTGGTTAACTGAGACCCCAGGGAATGTGCCCGATGCTACTGACTTGCCACAGTTCTCCTACCCCCTCACACCTGACTCCTGGATATCAGTGCTCACAGCAATACCACAGCTACTGCCCAGGTGTGGCGAAAGGATGAATACGTAATCTTTTCAGAAAGTTAAAAGACACAAGAGCCGAGTTTTTCTGATAAGGTCATACTCACAGGAATGTTGCCAGCAGCAGCCCCAGCTCCAAATCTGGCACCTGCATCGTACCCTCCTTCCACCAGCACTGCTGAACCAGGTGGATAGATGGGACCAACTGGATAATAAGCCATAGGGATTGTGGAACCTAAAGGTCCAACAGCCACAGATTGGGCCATGGGAAGATACAGGGAGGCTCCAGGAAACGCAGCCGACATGGTGGGGACTGTGGCAGCCCCTGGGTGCACAAAGCTCGGACGATAGAGCTACAAGAGGCAGAAGAGAAGGCCACATGTTACTTCATGACATTCCAATTTTAGAGCTCTTAATTCTCCTTAGGTAGATTACACTCTAAGTTACACAGGCTGCCTTTCCATTGCCACTCCATATTCTCCTGGATCGCTTCCTGCTATAGCTAATGTTAGACTCAAGGAACACACACTCATCTTCTTAACCTCAGCCTGTGCCAAAAGATATAATCAGATAATGCATTCTCAACCCCAAAAGAAACTGCTGAAGTGTACAGGGTTTCAGTTATTCATGGCAGCACTCTCTCCTGTGTGTGGAGAGTAAATAAATATGTGAAGTCAGGCTTAGCTCAGGGCTGAAAATGTGATCCGAAGAGTATTCAGTTCAAGTCGAATAAACTGGGAGCACCTCTGAGTAGGCAGGCGGGGCATCAGTATAGGGTGGAGCCTGAGGAAGATGCAAGGTCTGAGGGTACACTGGATTCCCAGGAGGCTGCACAGGGTAGGTTGGCTGTGTCGGATATTGACCTGGAAGACAAGGGGTGGGGGAAAATGCATATTGCCTATCACACAGAACCACCAAAATGGGGCAGAGCATACTGGGTAACTAACCTAGCGGCAACAAGCAGGAGATGTGGGAACAGACTGCTCTGGAGGGCCTGATTTCTGGAACCAGGAAAATAAGCATTCTCTTTGCACCCTCTTCCCGGCCTATACCCGAAGATGCTGGATTCTCAATCGACAGGAAGGCGCTCTTCCCGTTAGCATACTGGTGTAAGGGAAAGTCTAGCTGGGCCCAAGTTTCTTTCACAATGCAGGGCAGGTCTGGGCACCCGTGCCTGCCAGTGTACCAACGGTCTATCCTGCCTCTGCTCTAGGTGGTCTTCATAGGCCTGGTTGTAACTGGCCAAGACCTCGTTGAGTCACAGTGGCTACGATTATTTACCCCATCGATTTCCTACTCAAGGTCGACTTCCAAATAAAGTGAGTGGTGGAAGTGAACCTTCAGACCCGAGAGAAGGTAAATGTCCTGAGGAACAACAAAGGATCGTATTCTGATAAACACTAGTGCAATCACAGAAGCCGGGAGAAGTCCAGGCCTCCATCGGAGGGAAAGGCGAGAGAGACCTTTCTGGCCCCCTGGCCCGCCCACCAGCGCCGGCACCTCACTAGTTAAGCCCGGGCGCCAGCCTCTGGTTCCGGAGCGCGGCGCCCCGCCTCCGCTGGCTCTCCATTGGCCTGCCCAAATCCCT